TGGGCCAGTGAAGCGACGTCCTCCACAACTAGACTGAAGAACAAAAGGACAGCAACTTGTCTGTTCCCCTTACCCCAATCCCCCAGCGTTGTTCCCATCCCCTAATTCCCCAATAAAAATCTTAAAAAAAAAAAAAAGGCCGGCTAAGTAGCTCAGCGGGTTAAGAGCATGAGCTCTAAGCAACAGGGTCACCGGTTCAATTCCCACATAGGCCAGTGAGCTGCGCCCGAGTTGGGCTGCCGCTGAACTGCCAACACGTGGCAGGACGGCTCAGCTGGTAAGAGCACATGCTCCTAACAACAAGGTTGCCGGTTCGACTCCCGCATGGGATGGTGGCTACGCCCACCCGCAACAAAGATTCAACACAGCACCTTGAGCTGAGTGGCCACCAGCTGCCAAAGGGCAGCCAGATGGCGACTGGACTTGGAGCTGAGCTAGCTGTGCCCTCCACAACTAAGATTGAAAGACAACAACTTGGCTGTTCCCCTTCCCCAATCCCCCAACACTGTTCCTCTCCCCCAAATCCCCAATAAAAAATCTTAAAAAAAACCAAACTAATAATCAGTGCATACTGGCCAGGTACCCTTAAAAGAACTTTACATATACTAACCTAGCTTAATCCTTACAAGCAACCCTGTAAGATAGGTACTAATATTATTCCCATTTTACAAATAAAGAAATTGAAGCATGGAGTTAAGTAACTTGCTCAAGGTCACACAGTTACTAGTAAGTGGTAGAGCTACAAACCCGTGGTTTGGCTTCAGCATTGTAGCTCTTTACCATCACACCATTAGATCTCTAAAAAATGCTGTTAAGTGGTTATCAGAGGGTAAGGGGGAAGGGTGGTGGTAGAAGAGGGTAAAGGAGTCAAATATATGGTGATGGAAGGAGAACTGACACTGGATGGTGAGCACACAAACTGATATATAGATGATGTATTACAACATTGTACACCTTCAATCTATGTAACTTTACTAACCATTGTCACCCCAATAAACTTTAATTTTTAAAAAACTGCTGTTAGGAGATCACTGTCAATCTTTAAAAGAGCACTTTCTGGAAAGTAATA